CTCCATCACCTACCTTACGCAGACCAAAATTAGCAGTCCATCCTTGCAGCGTGGGGGGTAGCCCCACTGCAAGGGTTCATTTTTACATTTCCTGGAGTTACATAGTTATATAGTTACATAGTATTGTTCTTCTTTTTTAAAGAGACATTTAGATTTTATTTTAGATTTCTGTAGTTATTAGCTACAGGAGGGTGGGTTGTATTGTTTGTGGCAGTGGGGTCCCTTGCTGGAGAACAGCTTTAATCAGCAAGTGGTGCATGCTTGCATTTCTGAGTCTATGGTGAATAATGGGCCCCTTTTAGTTTAAAGGGCGTGTATGGTGTTTTACATATACACTATATTACCAAAAGTATTTGACTCAATCCAAATCATTGGATTGAGGTGTTCCGTGAAATTTCCTTGCTACTAAATATTCCACGGTCAACTGTTAGTGGTATTATAACAAAGTGGAAGCAACTGGGATCAACAGCAACTCAGCCTCAAAATGGTAGGCCATGTAAAATGACAGAGTGGGGTCAGCGCATGCTGAAGCGCACAGTGCACAGAAGTCGCTAACTGTCTGCAGAGTCAATAGCTACAGACTTCGTGTGGCCTTCAGATTGGCACAACAACAGTGCGTAGAGAGCTTCATGGAATGGGTTTCCATGGCCGAGCAGCTGCATCCAAGCCTTACATTACCAAGTGCAATGCAAAGCGTTGGATGTAGTGGTGTAAAGCACGCCGCCACTGGACTCTAGAGAAGTGGAGTTGTATTCTCTGGAGTGACGAATCACGCTTCCTTTTCTGGCAATCCGATGGATGTCAGTGTTTGGCGGTTGCCAGGAGAGCGGTACTTGCCTGACTGCATTGTGCCAAGTGTAAAGTTCGGTAGAGGGGGGGTTATGGCGTGGGGCTTGTTGCAGGGGTTGGGCTTGGCCCCTTAGTTCCAGTGAAGGGAACTCTTAAGGCATCAGCATACCAACACATTTTGGACAATTTCATGCTCCCAACTTTGAGAGAACAGTTTGGGGACGGCCCCTTCCTGTTCCAACATGACTGCGCACCAGTGCACAAAGCAAGGTCCATAAAGACATGGATGAGCGAGTTTGGGGTGGAGGAACTTGACTGGCCTGCACAGAGTCCTGACCTCAACCCGATAGAACACCTTTTGGGATGAATTGGAGCAGAGACTGCGAGCCCGGCCTTCTCGTCCAACATGCCTTCTCGTCCAACCTGACCTCACAAATGCACTTCTGGAAGAATGGTCCAACATTCCCATAGACACACTCCTAAACCTTGTGGACGCCTTTCCAGAAAAGTTGAAGCTGTTATAGATGCAGAGGGCGGAGCCAACTCAATATTGAACCCTACGGACTAAGACTGGGATGCCATTAAAGTTCATGTGCGTGCAAAGGCAGGTGTTCCAATACTTTTGGTAATATAGTGTATGTTTATGTATATAATATGTTCAGAAATACAAAAATTAATTTTAAATCAAATGGATATGAAATATTATATAAACATTTCACAGCTTCCCTTTTCCAGCAGCTGTCCAAGTTGAATATGGCACTCTGGGGTTTCATATAGCTGGTTTACTGCTGAGCTTTGAATATAGAGCTAGTAGCTGAATATTACGTTGCCACATACACAGCTGAATGAGACCGAGGAGAGTCACTTCCTCCTAATAGTGAATATAGACCCAATAGCCGAATATCAGGTAACACACACTGCTGAATGAGTCAGAGAAGGGACACCCTTCTCTGTGTAAATACACAGCTTAATGAGTCAGCTGAATTACTCAGAGGAGGGACACCCCCTCCTAACAAAGATGATGCTATGTAAATCTTAATTTTGTGGGAGCAAAGTGCAAAGTTATTGCTGGGCTTTCTTATTGGAAAACCCAGAATGCGCTGCACACACTGACACATGGAAACACTTTGTAATGTCTATTTTTATCAAGGATTTTATACAAATATGAACATTTACAAAGGAGTAACATTTGGCCAAGCACTCAATCTGTTGACGTTTCCCTGGAAGTTCTCTTACCTTTTAATGGCTGCCCGCATTTGTTCAATCCTTAAAGCTGAGAACTGGACAAAAAAACTTGAAATATATTCATCAATAACCAAAGGATAAAAATGCCTTTGCAAACCAGATATTACCTTTTAAAAGTAGTGGTTAAATTATGACTGGGTTATACATAGCCTGTACAGGGAACAGAGCTGTGGGAGGGGTCCAGCAGATCACACTCACGACATGCTGCCTGCTGAAAACTACAGGAGGTTGTGGAGACGAGACCAGACCAGTCACCCTGCACAAGGAGAGAGAGCAGCAGTGACCGGTCTGTATTACAGGAGGGGGCGGAGACCAGACCAGTCACTCTGCACAAGGAGAGAGAGCAGCAGTGACTGGTCTTTATTCCAGGAAGCTCCAAGTCTCACACTGGATTACTGCACAGATCTGGAAGAAATACACAAAGGTCATTAAGATTCATGGAAGAATACACATGACTCTTGTATTTAGAAAATATTTACTTAGCCCGGAGTTCAGCTTTAATACTAGACCAGAGTCTTTATGTTGCACCATTAGGCGCATCGGACGAATTGTATTGAACCTTCACTGCTGTGATTACTAGCAAACCTCCAATATATGATCAAAGATCTCACTGTTGGAGTACCAAAAAATGTAATAAGCTAGAGGCTGACTCAGCCCACCCATCAGCCCACCCATCTATATCTAAAACTATTTGGAAACCATTTTTGTTGGAGTTGCACTACAAGAACATCATTGTACTGTCACATTTTCCAACCACTCTTCGCTTACATATGACTTCTAAGCTGGAAACTTCCATTTAGTATGAGCCCATATTAAGTTATTATTGCCAAATTTGTTACAGAATGTTTTGCGCTAAGCTGACACGTTGATGAACGGAGTGATAAAGCCCCTTGTCTTGTAATCTGCAAGCAGCTAGATCTGGCTCTCGGTTTTTTTAGCTGAGCTGTTAAGCTTGCAAAATATGCAAAAAGTAGATTTTACATGCCTGCCAGAAAATTCTCATTTACTTAATTCAACAAATGCCTACAATGTGCTATTTACTTAGAAGACTCTAATTATTGTGTGTGCTTCACACAGCTATATAAGCTGGTTAACTGCATACGTGCTGAGAGGAATGACATTACAGTTGAGCTTTGGAAGGGCAATTTAAAGTGACACTAAACTCAGGAGTTGCATCTTAAAAATACATTCAAGTACCTTAACTATATAAATGCATCTTATTTGTGTATCACTCAGCTGTAGATCTTCAAATCATCTCTGAATTGGTGCTGACACTGTCCTTCCTTCTGGAGGGGAGCTACTTTTGTTCCCCATGGTCCCTGTGTGTGTTGTAAAGTAGTCGCCGCTCCAAGCTCGCTCCCGTGATGGACTACAATCTCAGGTTTAGTTTACCAATTTGTAGGGATGCACCAATACTGTTTTTTTGGTATCGAGTACCAATATTTTTTAGGTACTCGCCGATACTGAGTACCGGTGCCGTGTTCCCAGATTACTAGGAAGTCGGGCGGCGAATCATGGCCAGTCGCCTGGCTTCCTGATTGCCTGTGCACCCAGTGTTCTAGCGAAAGAACACCGGCTTCGCCTGCCAAGGCTGCCTGGCTTCCTGACGAATCAGGAAGCCAGGTGGCACGTCATCACCCGCCTCCCGGATTCCTGATTGGCTAGGAAGCCGGCGTCACTTGTTGCCAGGTAGCGTGGCTCCCTACCAATTGGGAAGCCAGAACACGAGTCCTGGCGTGCCGCCTGGCTTCCTAAGTGGTTAGAAAGCATCCACCATTTGTTTTACCAAAGCACACTGCAATGCACAGCTAGGCGTTGTGGTGCACAATAGTACAAATGTGGTAAGAACTAGTGTACGTGTGCGTGGAGTGCTTTTCACACACACATGAACCCATGGATTTACCGTAATGCACACATGGGAATGGGGCTTGTTTAAGGCCTTCTCCACTCCAATTAATATCCCATTGTTTTGTGGTTAATGGAAATCCAACACAAACATTGGGTTATCATATTTCTTGAGGATAACAGTTGCCAGCGATCCTTATCAGAATTCCTAGCTCTGCTCAACTTCTGTGGCCATCACAAAGCTGAATAATGGTATCACCCCCACCCCAATGCCTACATGCTAGTGAGCTCAGTTGCTGGAGAGTGACCCCTTCAGAAAACCATTCAGCATGGTATATAACTCAAAATATTTTAGCAAGGACTGTCCAGTTCCTGCTCTTACTTTTAGCATCCCTGTCTGATCTCTAATCTGCCGGTGAAGATCTTTAAATATCCTATTCAGAAACTTTCATTGTGAACGCACCCCAGCCCAGTATACTTTGAAATTGCACTCTTTTTCAGTTGTTGGCAAGTTAAATTCTGAGATGGTGGAGCATGTTGCTTTACAGACCACAGGGGAAAATGTGCCCCCCAAAAATATTGAATTAGACTTCTATTTGGCAATGATCATTTTGTGGACAGAAAGGGAAAAGTAGAAAGGATAAAGGCCAAACAAATGGAGAACTGTTATATTGATGTTTTAGTCTGCTTGTATCTATATTTCTGAAACTTTGTTTAAGTGACTGTGTTGGGGACTTTGAATTAGAGGCTCCATTCTATCATGGAACTGATGTAGCTGAGTTGACATTCTTTATAAGGTGTCATGGTATGTGGTGGTGCTATGCAAAGTGATTATTAATCTTATGCAAAATTATTTTCCTGTTACTCATCTATATATTCATTTTTTTTTTATTGAAGGTATTTATGTAACGCCATCAGTTGATGCAGAGCTTTACATACTATTAGTTCACATCAGGACATCACCCTGTCCTCAAGGAGCTCATAATCTAGGGTCCCTACCATCACAAGCGCGCACACACACACACACGGGAGCCAATGTATTTTCTTTCCATGATCTGCAGTCTAATGCTGCATCTGCAATCCTGTTTTTGCAGTTGACATCGCGAGAAAGCAGTCCCGAGGGGCTACGAAGGGCCGACTCCTGCCGCAAGTCAAGAAACTTCAATAAGCAGCCCAGCACTGGGGATTACTACAAATATCTGGGACAGAACTCCCAAGAGTCTTCGGAGGCCAAAAAGATGGCACACAGTGAGGAGGTAGGATGCTCACTGATTAAAACCGTGTTGCTTCCGACCAGTTTAATTAGCAGTTGATTTGACAATTGATTATGTGGCTGGCCTGACTTAGAATATCAACTTTGTCAGAAAAGCATATAAAGATGGGACTTAACCTTAACACCAGTGGCAAGATCTCTGCACTGAGTTCCCGTTCCTGCCCACCTGCTGTTTCCATTGTCAAAGGATCACAATTTCATTCCTGTTCTTTTAATTTACATTATCAAGATTCTGGCTTCAGGCCGAGAACTTTGCATGACACAAAAGGCTGTGCATTATGGCAGAGGTTCTGGGGACATGCAGTGGACTTTAGTTCTGCTTGATGACCATGGTTATTGGAATGGGATGTCCAACAAGCTTATATAGATGTGATAATCAGGTTTCTGACAACGTATGACCTTCTAGTGTATATAGTATATGGTATTATATCTATATGTTAGTTTTAGGACAGTTACTCGAAAAGTATTGAAGCCAGAGACTGCCAGGCAACTGATACTTTCAGACAGGGTCAGCCCCTGTATGTTTTTCAGCATAGGGGTGCTTTAAAATTTCAAAGCACTGTGAATCGAAAGCTCCTCCTCAAGTTTTAGACAAACGCTAAAGATTCTTTTACAGAAGTTAGAGACTTGAATATTCTGCCCTCCACCTGTTCAAGGATAGCCACCCTGACTGAATCCTGAATCCCAGTGTTTTTTGATGTTACTGAGGCTTGGGTGAGTTTTTTTTTCCTCGTTAAAATGGAAATATGTTACCAGCACCATTGTTCCCTTCTTATTTCCATGTGCCATGTGTTGTGTAACAATCAAGTTGTTGTCTAAAGGAATTGCTTTTTTAAACAATACCCATTGTGGGTGTCATCTGACAGCATCTGACCTTTTTCCAAAGAAGGTCCAGTAATTGAGTTCCTCTCCTTGTGTTGGTGAGAAAGTATATTCACGTTTCTGCCCATTGTGGAAGAGTCTTCAAAATTAAAGTGTACGTATAGCCAAATCCCTTTTTTAAAGTTTTAGATCGCGTAGGGCAGGATTAGAGCCCCTACGATGTTTTCATTGCTGTCAGGGGCGTAACTTGGTTTTTCAGTGCCCAAGGCAAGTATTGCGTCCCCCTACTCCGTGAACAGTTAGCATTCTTCTGATTAGTATTCCTCTATCCCATCCCCCGCCTCCTCTCTAATCAGTACCCCCCACTTCCATCCTCCTCCTGCCTCCTCTCTGATCAGTCATCCCCCCCCCCCCCC